CCACACCATGAAGATTATGGGAAAAATGACTAGATCTAGAGATTAGTAACATAAAAATTGGATCTTGAGGACTTACAAAAGTCTAGAAAACATGCACAAAAGGGATGGGGATAGTTGCTTACTGAAACAAATCCCAAGGGTGCCTTCTTCTTCTTCTTCAAAAACACCACCAAACACCACAAAAGCTCAAAGGTTGGTAATGGAGGCTAGGGTTTGCTCTTGGAGGCTGGTTGAGGGAGAGTGATTGAGGCTGATGGTGGGCAATGCTAGCCATCACATCCCTTAAATAGGGGCACAAACCCCAGATTAGGCTTTGTTATTAAACAGTGGTCGTGCCATGGCGAATAGATTCCACGTCGTGACACTAACTTAGTCTCCACAAAAATATTGACCTTATCCACGTCGTGGGACTCCGTCACCACGTCATGGCCACCAAAAATCCAAAATTCGAAATATTAATTTACTTAAAAGATACATACTTGAAAATTGGCGTTACAAGTATGTTGCTATTAGTTGTAAAGATGTGCACAGTCTACAAATATGAGTAGATGACAATTTCACCCTTTTGTTTAAAAACGGTTGCTATTGTTTTGTAGTTGTTTAAAAGTGACTGTATGAAACTCAAATTTCAGATGAAAACAAAAAAGTTGCTAAACAGTTGGAAGGAGGAGAAGAATAACCATTTCTTGAGGGCAATGTAAGAAATATCAATGTACTTTCAATTACCTAAATTTGTTTGCTTTTGTAAATCTTACAGCATGTGTTCTATTTTGCTATTGATTAGTTTGGAAGTTGGGTCTTTTTTGGGGATTTAATAAACACTGTTATTGAACATGTTTGAATCGTATTTCAACAGTTTTTGTTTCTGTGTAGCAGATCCAGGATTGTTGCCAACTTATTTGGTTACAATTTGAATAAAATCGGAAATGTGACCTTTATTATTCATTGTACCAAATTAATTTCAATTTTCTATCGCAACAATGTACTTTCACTTTGTTTTTTTTTAAATCATTATACTTTGAGAATCCTATTTGAACCTGCACCAACAACGCGCGAGGTTTCTACTAGTCTTTATTAAAATTATGGTAAATAGCACAAACGTCACTATGTTTTTTTAAAATATCGATTTTTACATAACGTTATATTTTCTTACAATTTATTCACTAAGTTTTCTAATTTTTGCAATGTTCACAGTTTAACAGATCAACCTAGTTTCCACTAACATGGCCTGTTAACATGTCAATATTTGTTTATGTGGTGTGGATGTGATATTCTGTCGTATCAAAATAGAAAGAAAAAAAGATATCATGAAAGACACTAACCTAGTTTACACTTATTTTATTTCATTCTAAATCGAACATCATTTTTTTAAAATTTTATCAATATTGACCATTTTATATTTGAAACCGTATAAATAATTATTTTTACATTTAACATCGTACAATACATTTTTTACATTTAAAATTCATATTTTATTTTATAAATATAAGTTTTTTATATTTAAATCGTAATGTTATGTATAAAAATATATTATTTGTATTATAACCTTATATTTTTTATTAAGTATGTAATTTTAAAGTAAAGTATTTACTTTTGCATATAAATATGTAATTTTAAAATAAATATACAGTTTAAATATAAATAAATACATAAAATTATTGTTCAACTGTAGTAAAATTTTGAATTTATATATAAAAATATGTATTAATTGGAACATCCCCTTGGTAAGTAATCGTTGACATGGAACTTGTTAATTATTAATTAATCCCTAGGAAATTAAATCAACAATATAGTTATAAGTTATGTTTTTATCCATTCAACTTACATTTTCATTGTTATTTCTTTGTTTTTGTTGTTAATTGGTTAATTTGTTTATGATATGTAGTTGGACGTTGTTCGACTTCAATTACAAATTATAATATTTAACCTAATAATTCATCTTTCATGTACATTTGTCATGTGACTTTGTCTTAATACTGCTATTATTATAATAATTATAATAATTATTATTATATGTAACCTCACAGTTTGTATCTTTTGAAAATTGTTCGATTATTCTTCATTTTTCGTATTTTGTGTTAGAAAAAGTGTTAGCGAATATCAAATATAACTTGGATATTCCAAGAATCATGTGTAAAAATATTTTCCAAAATCTCTAACTTCGACCATATTACATGGAGTAACACGAAACAATATTTAGGATAATCCAAAAAAAATTGGATTTCATACAAAATCTTAAATTCAGAATCACAACATACTTTGTAACATCCCAAAAACCAAGAATAACTTTTTTTTGAAAATCAAAGTATGAGTTACTAAAAAGGGGTTTCCATCCATAAAATCATCAAATATAGTGTCACAAAATCATCGTCAGAAGTGGAAGCTAAATTATTGCTTTAAAAACAAAGTCGTAATAGATAAACATTGGATAAATGCCATGCCCCCGAGAATGTCCAGACATCCAATATAGCCAGCTCATATCAGTTATTCCTTATACAGGTCATGCAATTTACATCATACACATAAACATAGAATAATCCTATTGCATAACATATGCTTATAACACTAGTAGAACGAGATTCTATCCAATAGATTTTTCTCTAGTTGACATAATATTGACCACTTCCCTCCGAGAGGCTTTTAGTGGTCGACCACTTCCCTCCAAAAGCCTTTGTGTGGTCGACCACTTCCCTCTGAAAGTCTTTTCGTGGTCTTACATCCTTTTAATCCAACTCGATTCCCTCCGAAAGGTTTTTCTTTAGTTGACATACATATAACACATAGTCCACATAATAAGTAAGTTCATGAGAACTCACCTGACTATAAGACAAGATGGAAATCCACAAACTCAGCTAGAGGTATTAAGTATTCCCCATAACTACACAATAAATAACCTTAATTTAATAATTAAGATAAAACTTTTATTTACGCCTCCTCGTCGAGTCGAGGTCTATTAAAAGCTAATCTAGGAGCAAAATACCATTTTGCCTCTCCAAGACCTAACCCCTAATACAGTTGACCAAAAGTCATACTTGGTTAAAACGTCAATGGTCTACGGCCATCTGCATCGTGGCCAGTCCTTAGCCATGTTGTGGTCCAGTCATGACAAAACAGTCGCGAGACTCACTTGAAAAACGCGTCGTGGCCGGTCCTTGGTTGTGTTGTGGTTTCTCTGCAGAGCTTTTAACTCATTAAGCTCTTAATCCGTCAAGTCCAAGTCTCATACTTTCTAGCAACGCTTTCGTACTCACTCAAGGTCCATAAAAATCGTAACTTTATGGACATGCATGTCTTATGCATGTCTCACACCACTCTACGTCAAAAATGGTATATATACATACATATATATATAGTCATAACTCTTTGCATGGCACCAAATGGAGATAAAGACCAGATCCAAGACATAAAATACCCTTCGGACCTTATGGAACAATACAGTTGCAAACTTTATTCCAAAACTTCATCCATGATCCATATAATGGACAAAGCAAACTTAAAACTCAAGATCTAAAGAGTAATAAACATAAAGGTTGAATCTCGGAGACTTACAATGGTCCAGAAGGTGATCAAAATGCTAGATCAAGATTGCTTGTTGCTTCTTTACTTTACCATTGCACTTCCTTCTCCTTCAAAGTGCAAGAACAATCAAAAGAGGCTCAATAACAAAGAGGAGAGGCAAGGGTTTAACAAGGGATCTCTTGAGGTCATAGAGGCTGATGGCGGAGGAAACCATATCTATCACATCCTTTAAATAGGGCCCAAGGCCCAAGACCTAGAGTTTGGAGTCCATGCGTCATCACGTATCGGTCTACACTTAACCAGACCGCTACTTAAATGATGTAGCAGCGCCGCGGTACGCATTATGCTCGTGTCGCATTTCCTCAGCACCCTAAATCTTCCAACTAAACAATTCAATTTTTAAGGATAGTTCATACCTGAAAAATGAGTGTTACATATTTTGCTTTGTTTGATGTTTTTTGAGACAGAATTTTGTAGAGTGACATTAATTAGTGTACCCGAGATTACTTATGTCATATGACTTTGTTTTTTAATTATTACATGGAGTAATCATCTGACCCTCGTGTTCCCAAGATCACATTAGTTTATCTGATTGTGCATTTCGGACCTCCATATTCGTATTTAATAAAAAAATATGATTATAATATAAATATTACATATTTTTACATAATAATACGATTTAAATGTAAAAAAAATTGAATTTATACAAAGAAAAAAATATGGTTTTTAAATGTAAAAAATGCAATTATATCGTTTCTAATGTAAAAAAAAAGTAGTGATACAACTTTAAATAAAATATGTTAAACATTGAACAATTAAAGAATGATGTTCGATTTGGAACAAAAATGGAACGTCAAAAAGAAAAAAATAATAATAATAATAAAGTGAAAGCTTAGTGTTTAAATTAAAAAAAAAAAAAATTAAAACTTCGTTTAAAAATTGAAAATAAAAATAAAAACTTGGTGTATTTTATGTCGCTTTTTGTGTCTCAATTTTGACATATTATCATGTCATATCGGCTATACAATAAGTTACCACAAGATCGTCATAACGTAAAATTAAGTTGGACACCAATAATACAATTTACAACAAATCAAATCATATGAACGTTTGTGTAACCCTTAGGCTATATGGAGTGGACTCGAAAGGGAGCTCGGCATCACGGACATAGTTACATTGCATCAAGGTGGGTCCTAGGACCTACTTATTTTTATTAATAATAATACAAAGTATACAAGGAAAAAAAAAATAAGGACCTATCTTAATTCATTACAATCTTTGGCAATATATATATATATATATATATATATATATATATATATATATATATATATATATATACTAGTGAAGTTAAAAGGGCGGTGATAATCACGGCCCTAGACAACTTATCTGTAAGCTTGTTTTAAGTCATTCCAAGAAAAACATGTATGAAGACTTGGGGTATTTAGCCCATGATTGGTCTTAAAATTGTAGTTAAAAAAATGGACGTAAGATGCTACAATTGAGTAAATTTTCAAAGTACATCATAATAAGAAAAAAAAGATACAACATTTTTGAATGTTGACTTTGCTCCACTTAATTGATCATTACAACCGATGATCAAAGTATCGTGTTTCTAGTCAATACCAATAAACAAGAATTATCAGTGTCCAGTTAAGCAGTCCAACCTTCTTGATCTTTTTATCTTCCTTCAATGCACCATCCTTTGTTCCGTGCCTACGGTGGACTAAACCTGTGATTTAGAGCATCGGATGTGAATAAATTTGTAATTTACTCGGAAATCAACCTTTAAATGCTCAAAAAGTTAGCAAATTCTTCTATTGCAGAAGCCAATTCACTTTCCAGATGTTCCTAGATCACAAAAAGTGGAAACGATAAACATAGATTCAAAAAGGTCACGCTAATTAAAAAATAATAATAATAATAATAATAAACAAACAGCTAATACATGGATACATGGATACCCTTGAGGCCTTGAACATGAAACGAGTTAAAGACAACATATATGTAGGAAGGTCTAGCCATAGGGGTCCACTTGATTAATCTACCTACACCACCATCCAGCCCTTTAAAAAATCAAATGGACACCTTATTAACCCCACCAATCATCAGGTGCTTGTATCTATGCTCAATGGTAAATGCATATTATGTACCTATAAAATCAAAACTCAAAATAGATGGGCTTGTTTTTTTTTAGGTACCATTTTCAAAAACTTGAACGACAATAGCCCTCAATTGCAACTTTTACTAAATTATTTTGTAGTATTCAAATTCTCAACAAAAATATTGGTAATCTGAGAGTTTCCTGAAGGATCAAATAACATTTTGAATACCTTTTATTTGAAATCTTTCAAGGGTATTGTTGTCATCACTACTTGGATGAGTATCAGGGTTATTTTTTTCATTATCAGGAACTCCAGTTTGAACAAACGTCGTAAAACTTGGATGAAAACTTCTAGTAGCGGCTTGCAAACCAGTTGAGTTTGTAGCATTTAATCGATAGATAAGCCAACTTCTATTTCGTGCATGATCCCATCATCAAAAATAGAAAATAAACTTGTTACTTCAAACATTCTAATTCAACGATTATTATTTGTTCAAGAAAGAAAACATCAGCAAATTGTCTTAGCAAAACACCAGTTAAGAGTGTGTATATTACCTGAAACTTTCACAACAATATTAACCTCATCATCTTTCCAATATGTTCCGGGAACTTATACAAACTCCTACAAAAAGAAATGCACATCTTACAATGTTTAAACAGCTTTAGGAGGGGAAAAAAAAAAGCAAAGCAAATTTGTTATGCTTTGAGCACTTGTTGTTTTCTTTGTAAGATTTTGAATGCTATTGAGCCGAACCCACAAAGGGATCAATTTGGATCCCCTTCATGTAAACCATCACAAGGTTGTCCTTGACATCTTACAAACCAGGTAACAACTTAACCAAATGAAAACCATAAATACCAACAGGGTATGCATCAAAATAAGAAATCCTAATACCCGGACATGGCTTCAAGTCCACAAGAATCATGATACAGTCACTTGTAGCACACTTCCTACTCAATGATGTCTTTCAGAAAGACTCCTGAATTCTCAAGCTTATTAGTTGGCCTAAAATCATCATGTGTATCTGGATCATACAAAATGATTTTTTTATAGAAAAATTGTTGAGAACTGCTTTGAGTTTTGAATTATAAGATATAAATATCAATGTTCAATCGTATAACAATTCAACTTTCAGGGGAAGCATTACTTTTGAAACTAATTATCGAATTAGGTGTAATATTAACAGGTTTCTATCTATGAGTTTAAATGTTGCAATTCTCTTGGGACATCACCTAAAAATGGATTTTTTTTTGGCAATTTTCAGTCTATAATACTTATCAAAAAAGAATATGTGTTCTAAATAAAGCACAAAATTAACAGAAATATGTTGGAGATGACATGTAAAAACCAAAAATCCTCATAAATTCATTACAATTCATGCTTAATTCTTAAGTCTTCCACCCATCCAATTTGCTACCAGATGGACCATTTGGGGTTATGTCAACATATGACTTGAGTATTCCATCAATAAATGGAATCCTAGGGAGAAAGATCAAGATTCTATTAAATTTGGGGAAATGGTCTCAAGGAACACCCTTTTGTCTTCTATTTTTATGATTTAATATTTTTTTGTGACATCTCAATGGACTTCTGGTAAAAAATGGCTAAGATCACAAGGCATTTATGGTCGTATTGCATAAAATATGAGTTAATTAAAGAAGAAAACTTTTAATCTGGATCCAAATGACTTGATTTATGTTTTACAATAACAAAATTTGGGGCAGTGAGAGTACAACTTACATGACACTACCTGAGACTGAAATGATGGAAATCAACATCTACAGTTTGGTACCGGTTATGAAGGTGGAGTAGAAGTCAATATGAAAAATTGCAAGAAACAAAACCTGCAGATGTAAAACAAAAACTATTAAGGGGTTAAGCAAGGATACATTTATTAAAAAAAACAAATTAAGCAAACACCATGGCGTTAAGCAATGAATCGAATGAAAAGAAACATCACCAAAAGATGATGTAGAACCACCTTATGATTAAACAAAAGGTCCAAACAATCAGGCACTTATGTTTTGTGACGTTACAATTTGAGGCCATTGTTAAAACCGTAAACATCCCCACCTAGGTTTTGTAGAATCAGATGACCCCTAAAAGAATAAGAGATAAGGATACAGAAAATGAAAAGTGAGAAGATGAGATTGATGCGTAGTGGAAAAGAAAGAGAAGGAGATACATAATCGTTATGAAGGAGAGGGAAGTAACATGCAACGGGAAGGTGGAGGTGGAATCGAGCACCGGTGGGTGATTGATTACACACAATCTTCCTTATTGTCTTCTTCTGAAAACAATGAAAAAATGTTAATCATATGATAATTTATTCATACCAGAGGAAGAAGATGATTTCGAGGCAGTGGTTTTTAAGAGAACGAGGAGCAAAGGAGAGAGAATTGAGAGGGTATAGACGGTGGTATTTTGGGGAAGAAGCCTAACGGTAAATGTGAAGGGTTTCTTGGTAATTGGAACATCGGTGCTGGTGGAGCATGTCTAGCTTTGTGGAAGAGTTGTATTGGACGATATTGGCGGTGAGAGTATAAGAAACAGGGATTGACGCGCCTAACAAAAAACCATGCGTGAAATGCACATCCTGACCTGAAGAAAAATCATAGGAAAATAACATATGGTTTATATATATATATATATATATATATATATATATATATATATATATATATATATATATATATATATATATATATATATATATTAGCACGTATTTTATAGAATAGTCCAATGCTTCAATTCACTTTAGATTTATTAACTAGGTAATAGCTTAGACATCCCCATTTTTACGGTCTGAAAAGACATCTTTATGCTTACTTTAAAACAAGGTATTCTTAATATTGTGGAATGTATCCCATAAAAGTATTTTCGAAGAAACGTTTTTTATTGATTATTAAAAACTTGAAATGTCATAACTAATACAAGAAACATAAGCTTAAACTTAGTCATTATAGGCCTTACAACATATTAATACTATGGTCTACACTTCCTCGAATCTTTCCCCAGATCTAAACATCACTACTCGTGTACCTTTATATCGCTACCGGTGATATGAAGAAACTGAGTGGATCAGGCTTCGGAGCCTGGTGAGCACATAGGGTTTTCAACCCACAATATTATTATTATTATTAATATATATATATATATATATATATATATATATATATATATATATATATATATATTAAAGAAATGAAAGTTAGGAATAGTAAAATGGATTTGATTTTGTTATTTCTGGCCCTTTATTTTGATTGCTTTTGTAGGCGGACATATCTGTTTTCATTTTTGTCCTAATTGGTCCCTCTGATAGGGATCAATTTTTACTTTAGCCCCTGGACTTTTTATCTTTTTCGGATTTCTCAAATTTAATACCTGGTCAATTTATGTTTACAACCTAGTCTATGGCTGGTCAATTATGTCTGGCCGGAATTCCTCATCTGATCCCACCGCTTTTGTTTATATATGTGGCACATCATTAGTGACCAATCGACACGTTTCACCTACATGTACCTTTCCACCGCCTTACTATAATACTATTCCTTCATGGTAATCAAAAATCAGTCTTTCAAGAAAAACATACCCTCCACCTTCTCTCTTTCGTTTCGTCTCCACCCATCACCGCTCCCTCCGCCAATCCTTTTCTTCCAGTTTCGATTACGTGTTCATCGTCTTCAGCCTATACCTCCACCAGCAACCCACTGCCAGTGTATTGCCTGCGACACACCCCCAACGCACCACCATCGACTCCCCTTACCGTCAAGGACCACCGCCCTGGTCGACACTGGACGATCACAGATGTTTATTTTCATACGAATCCAATTCGTTTCTATTTTGGGATTTCATTCTCTCCATTAATGTTTAAACCCTAAATTTCATATGATTTTTTTCTCATTCAATTTGATTACGCGCGACACTGATTCTATTTCAAATCTTCGTTTTTCAGCGATTTTACCCTTTGTGGGAAAAGAGGGGCACTTCAATGCATCTGATGCTGATGGAAATGGTTTGTCGAATGTAACTGACTTCAATGAGTAAGTTATTAAAGGTATAAAAACTTATATATGGTTTTCTTTTTACACTTCCATCTTCTTCTTCTCCTAAAATTTGAGGCTTTTTTGTGATATTTATGTTTCAGCACCCTGCAGAGACTCATAATCCTAGACTGGTTCAAAGTAAGTTCAAGGAGTTCTTCCATGGACTATTTAACCTTGTAAGAAAATATGATGAAGATAGTCATAATTATTCACATCATAATCCTAGACTGATTCAAAGTAAGTTCAAGGAGTTCTTCCATGGATTATTTAACCTTGTAAGAAAATATGATGAAGATAGTCATAATTATTCACATGAATCTACTGATTCATTGGAATCCCCTACAAAGAACTATTTTGATTTATACTTTTTTTTATTTGGGCGTTGCTAATATCTTATGGATTGACTTCTCACAAAACTGGTTTTAAATTTTTTAATGAGGGTGGGTTTTGATATTGTAGATACTTGTCTGATGTGGAACTGCTATCTGTCATTGGGAAGCTTCACTCTTCAGATTGTTATCATGCCAAACAATAGATAGGTTATATTATATCACAGGTAAGCATGGTTGATTTTGATGTCTTCTTATAGGTTTGGCCTTGAAATTGTAGTAATTCAGTAGATACAATCATGTAGATTAACTTCATTGTCTGAATAGTCAGTGATTTTTTCAGATTTGAGCAAATTGATTGAGGGTTTGTAAGTTGACTAGATAACATGCCTAATAAGCATCACAATACTGCTGATTCCTTTGATTCTCCTTTTTAGGGATTTAGAAAGCCTGGTGAAAGTGGATTTATAAAATTCACAGGTAAGTATTGTTTGGTTCCCAATTTACACAAAGTATTAATCATTAAAGAAAGCTTATTTTTTTGCAGAATGAATTGGCAACTTTGGAGCAGCAAAAGTCAGATGATAAGATGTTGAAGTTGGTAGATGATCAAAAGGTTCATTTAATTCTTCTTTTTAAGTCATGAGTGCTATGATTTGGGTTCTGCTTTCGGTATCGATTTGAAGATCTATTAACACATATTTTTCCATGCCATAAGGATGAAGGGTATTTTAGGCACATAAGTTTCTTTCTTGAATTTTAAGATTCTAAAATGTGACCTTTTGGAAAAAAAGAAAATAAAAGTTGAATCTATTTTGAGATGGTACCTCAGATACAGATAAGAAACGGTCCTTCTCTGTGTATTGTCCATTCTATTTTCTGTTAGGTGAATACTTTGACAAATTATAATACTTTTGTTGATAATATTGACTTTGTAGATAAACAGGAAGTGGAATCAACCATGGAATACCATGTGCCTGTCATGAACTGGTAAGGCGTATGATTCTGCTTGATATGTACATTATTTTCCTCACGCGGTTGATAATAATCATAACTAAAGCCTTTGTATGGTGTCTCCATAGGGATATTGACAACAAAAAAGACTATTTTGTCCCTAGAAAGCTTTAATTACAGTTTCTAAACAGTCAATCTCTCCCACTTTCGTATTGAAACAGGAGATTGGAATACCTTAACAATAACCTTGATTGACGTGTATACCGGCAAAATAGTTCCAAGTGGAATCGGGTCATCAGCAACGACAGAGAAAATCAGACAATTAATGAGTTTAATGGTGATATTGTTAAAACGAGACAAGGGAAGAAACCACTTCTCTTTGGTAATGTACTATTCAAACTTGAACAAGGTATACCCCTCCTCATCCATTGATCCCATGTAAAATAGGCTCAATTATAAATGTAAAAGTAAGGGCAAAATAGTCATTTTTTCAGGGGGATTAATGGTTTAAAAGAAATAGTATTCATTTGAAATGTTCCTCATGATCAATGTCATCAAGAATGCAAGTAGAATTGCTTTTTTGGAACATATGAATTACATGAGTTACCCTTTACTAAAGATGAAACACAATAACCTTTGAAAATCAATGTATGTTGCATCAGAAATAGCAATGTACTTTTGTTTATTTTTATATTATAACATCCTTCTATTGTTCAATTTAAAAAAAATTGTCGTAATAGAAAACTGCAAGTAAGACGCTCTAATAAACAAATCATTTCGTTCTACTGTAACATTTTATTACTCTAAAAAAAATTCTTCTCAACACATTGTACTTGAAAAAAAACTACACATATATAGCATTGTACTTTATGTTTTTTTATTGTAAGTTAATAAAAGCAATAAGCCAAATATGGTTTGTATAAAGAGTTCTCATGCCACTCATACATATTCAGAATAAGAAGATGAAGTTTGTAATTGGGTTGCTATTATATGAGTTATTTACATTGTTTATTCTTTTCAGAATATATATCTATAGAAATGAAAGTCATAAACGAACATGGACCAGAATTTATAGACATTGACGCCATGCATCTTACTTAATTTTTTGCTAAATAATGATTTTGACAGACCTGTTATAGCATCTGCATTTTTTTATTAAGGCAATGTACTACCTAGCTGTACTTCAATCTGTGATTATAAACTTCAGCAAATTTAGCAAAAACAAATGTCCACATTTTCAATATGATATTACATTTATTGCAGCAAACTATCTGCACTCAGTTTGTGTATTTGTTGACTATGTGTCAAGTGTGTCTATCCTTCTACAATGTCATCATTTGAACTTTTACTGCCCCTCGCGAAGCGAGGGTATCCTTCTAGTTATTATTATTATTATTATTATTATTATTATATTATTATTATTATTATTATTATTATTATTATTTTAAGTATATCTATATCACACCAAACAGATTCATCTCGATTATTCATTCCCGTTATTCTCACTCTTCGATCCTAAAATGATAATCTCGAGGGACCTATCCTAAAGGATCTCTATAAAAACGAGTAGACAATATTGTCTCAGGGATTCCTTAGCAATACATGTCAGTAAGGAAACCATGAGGGGGATAGTGTACTCGAATGAACATACTATCTATACTTTCAGATAGTATGATTCATTAACACCTACAGATTGCAAGTCTGCTAGTGTTCCACCAGACTGTCTAAAAGAGTATGTGGTAATCATCAATACTCTGCTAGATGACTGCTCTCAGTTAGGCATGGTCTTTCACCATTATTTTATCTTTGGCATAGTCTCTCACCATTATCTCATCTCTTTCTCTCTCTGCTCTCATGGGTATAGTAGTACTATGTTGGACATGGTCTCTCACTATTTTCGCATCTCTATGTACCCTATTTACCCAATACAATATAAGTATGATAAAAATACATGTATGATTTATTTTGAGTAAAAATTATTATCTCATTTAGAACAGTTATCACGAACACAAATAATAAGAAAATATGGCATCTAAGAAAATTAAATATTTGATATCTATGTGTAATCTGAAAGTAACT